GGTGTGCACCACTGCACTCACTTTCTTCTGTTTTTGACAAACACCCTTGAGAAAAGGCTATTTGCATTGTGTAAGCACCAAGACAAATCACATGAAGACAGTTTGGCAAAGGGGATCTTCCAGGCAGCCACTAGACTGACCAATAATGACAACTCCTTGGGAATGAGGCTTTGAAGAAACTCCAACACTATTCTTCCCCCTCTAGTGGTTGCCAGGTTACTGGTTTTCATTACGTCTGCAGAAAGCTGGTTTCTAACGCTACTACAGAGCTGAGGATGAGGAATGAGAATAAAATAAAACTGTCTCCGCCGGGCGCGGTGGCTCAAGCCTGTAATCCCAGCACTTTGGGAGGCTGAGGCGGGTGGATCACGAGGTCGAGAGATCGAGACCATCCTGGTCAACATGGTGAAACCCCGTTTCTACTGAAAATACAAAAAATTAGCTGGGCATGGTGGCTCGTGCCTGTAATCCCAGCTACTCAGGAGGCTGAGGCAGGAGAATTGCCTGAACCCAGGGGGTGGAGGTTGCGGTGAGCCGAGATCGCGCCATTGCACTCCAGCCTGGGTAACAAGAGCGAAACTCCATCACAAAAAACAAAACAAAACAAAACAAAAAACTGTCACAAAGCCTACTATTCTTATCAAGAGTCAGCACTCTTAAATAAATGCTCCTTGGATTGTTGAAAGCCTTTGGTTAATTTTTAGAGCTATGACAAAGTTGATTCTGATAAATATTTGTGTTTTCATTGTTTTTATGGAGAAGATAATTTTCAGAGGCCTTTACTTCACCAATTTTGCTGATGTCTCATCTCAATTTTTTTTCATTCTGCTTTTTAGACTTAATAATTTCTAGTGACCTAACTTCAAGTTCTTTGACACTTTCTTTTACCATCTCCAATGTGTTGTTAAGCCTATCTAGTTAATTTTCCATTTCAGATATAATAATTTTCAGTTTCAGAATGCCCATTTGGCTCTCTTTTACATTTTCTATTTCTCTGCTAAAGCTCCCCTCAACTATTCATTCATTATGTCACTCTTTACTTTTAAGTCCTTGAGCATTTTTATAATAGCTACTTTAAAGTATTTTCTGCAAAGTACTACATTTGGTCATCTTAGAGTCTATTTTTATTGCCTGATTTTTCTTTTGATCATAGGTCACACTTTCCTATTTCTTTGAATGTCTAGTATAGTTTTTATAGTATAGTGGCCATTTTGGATGATATATTACAGATATTCTGGATTCAGTTACCCTTTTCTAAAGAGTATTGATCTCTGTCCTAGCAAGTAGGTAAAATTCCGGCTGGTTACATTTACCTTGTGAAGGCATAGTTTTATACTTTTTAAGGAAAAAATGGTTTGAAGTTAGACCTTAGTCTTTGACTGAAGCCTTAGTCCTTGGATACAGCTTTTCTCCTATGGTATCAGCTTTGTGAGGTTTCAGTGTAAAGCCTGAAATGTTCGCCAGGGCCCTCTTAATTGGTGGGATTCTAAATGTGCTTTCCCTGTTGTGTTAACCAGTTGAAGTGTCTGCTCAGCTTCTTCCTTTCAGCTGTTACTTTCCTTTTTCCTTTCAGCTGTTAACATTCCTTCTTCCTTTCTGCTGTTCCTTTTCAAGACTCCTTTGTAAATACACAGTTCAGGGATCAGCCAAGGTTTTGAGGGAATTTATATGCCAATTTAGGGGCTCCCTCATTTCTAGCTTCCTCCTTTCTGGGATTTCCTCCTTCAATTTTTAGCCACTCTGATAGTCCTGAACTTTGTGCTCTGATACATTAGGCCAGTAAGACTGAGGCTTTCTAGCAGTCCCTTCTCATGGTGTCAAGTGATAACCTTCAGAGAAAAAGGGAGTTAGGGGTAATGTTATATATTATAGCACTATTATTTCAAGCAACAAATCCCTCCAGTTTCTGTATGATTTGTATTGCTCTATAGTGCCTTCATGTAGTTTTTTTTTTTTTTTTTCATATTTTGACTAGGGTTTATAATTGTTATATATGGAAAGATCTGTCTACATTAAGCTACTCCATCACTCCTGAGACTAAAACTAGCCCTGTTAAATTATCCTTCACCTGAAAACTGACTTACAAATATAATGAAACTTTGCTATCAGTCTTATTTCCTATAAAACAGAATATGTATTAGATTAAATGGGTAGGAGTTTCAGAACTATAACATAGTAGGGATCTTGGAACCAGATTTTTCTTGAAGCTCTGCGTACATGGTAAGCATACTATTTTTAGATAATGTTATATTTATTTGAATGGGTGGTGCAATGAAGTATGGTGGTATACTGGGGAATAGTACTGTGGAGAAGATGCCATGACTCAAATTCCCAAGTGACTCTGGTAGGTCACAGCTGGGATTCTCTTTGAAGAGTTATCATTATTAAAAGACCAAGAAATAATCTTAAATGAAAGAAAGGACAATATAGCATAGACCCTGAAGAAAGACTTTTAATGAAGTTCAAGTATGTTATCATAAGAGTCACTCACGTCTACCATGAGCAACCAATACGGATTTTAATTGAACAAGTTGCCAAATATTAGACAACTTTTTTTTTTCTGTGCCATCTCAAGGTTTGCAACAAATAATAGTGCTTAATAATAAGTCAATTTTGAGTTAACTTGCTGACAAATTAAGAGGATTCCCCATCATATTTCTGTTTGATAATATGTCATCTCCATTGAGTGGCCTTCTCTCAGTCTTATTTTCTGGGTTTCCTTCATTACAGTTACTAAACATGGGAATATATATTTTTGTACTTGTTTGTTTAACTTTCTTAGTGAAATGTGAGGACAACAGTCCTTAAGCAAGACATCGATCATCACTTAAGATTAAATTTAGTCTGAATTAATCATACGAAGCCATACTTAAATGAAAGTATGTCCAATCTTTTAAACTGGATAATATAGACATTGTTTTTCTACCATGCCTATTCAAATCTTCCCTTTACCCATATTATTCTAGTCATTAAAACCACATTGGTATATCTGATCTATATAAATAAAAAAGTATTTTTAATATCCAGACTTTGTTAAAGCCCATTTAATCCAAGTAGCAAATTCTAAGTACAGTCTATACTTTGCAGAAAATAATAGGGTAATTATCAATATTAAGATCAGTGAACAATCCCAGATTCTTTCATATATTATTTCACTTAATTTTAATCCTGCTTTGAATTATTAATATTCCAATTTAATAGATGAGAAAAGTGTAGTTCAAAGAGGTTAAGTGACTTGGGCGAAGTCACACAACTAATAAATGACCAGGTCCTATGACTGACTAGCTATCATTCCATTATACCACAATTCTCAGACAGTTATTTGGAAGAGATCTTCAAGCAGTAACAAACCAGGTGATGAAAAAACTTAATAATTTATTCCAGGTGCAATATATATATTTGTAAACATGCTATTTCGAGGCTCTCTCCAAAATATGAAGTCAAATAGATGGGCATATTTTTAAGTATGATTTAACTAAATTGGACTAAATTTAATCTTGAACAATGGCCTATGTATTTACAAATGTTTCAGAATGTCAAGACACAAAAAGAATATTCATTTAAAGACATGAAGATCAAATTGTTAAATGTTTAATTTCCTTACAAAATGGCATTACTATATTCCTCATCTTCTTCCTCTCTCACACCCTTCTTCAACCAGACACTCAACTACCAGTACTCAAGCCACCACCTGTGTTGCTTAGCTCCACACTTAACCTTCCCACACTGTAAAAGACAATGGTTTTAGTGCATTCAAGCGGACTGCAAATGTTATACTGCTTCAAATCCAAACTAACGTGTGAGATGCACAAGAAAACTTCAAAATTTTTTCCCCCTGCAGAACATGTAGGACAAATGTGGTAAGCAGGGTCTATCTTGTTCTCTGATCACTAACTTCGACAAAGAGGAAGTCCAAAGAGTGCAACTGCTAATGGTAAAAGGAACCCTTTACAAGAAAAAGGAAAGGAGAGGAAAGGAAAGTCCCTTCCTGCATGAGAGTATAGTCATTTTGAGCAGTGGAAAACAGTCTGGGCTACTACTCATGCTTCTGTTTTGGAGAAGTTTTTAGGTGAAGATTGATTCTGGACCAAAAAATCTTGAACACCCTGAGCTGACTCGGTTGTCCCTTTTCTTTGATTCTGACTTCCTACCCTCCAGCATGCTCCTGCTCCGCTAAATCATTACAGCCTTTCCTGTTGTTCTAATCCCAGACCTGGGCTCTGCCTTCTGCCTCACTCTTTCCATCCCATACTGACTCCTCTCCTTCCTAAGGCAAAAAAAAAAAAAAAAAAAAAAAAAAAAGAAAAAAGAAAAAGACTTCTTCAAGCCTACTCTTCCGTGGTAGATCTGTCTCCCACTACACTCACAAACTCAAGTTGAAGCTTCTGTCACAGATTCACAGATTCTTCTCCCTTCGGGGGCATGGAAGGTAGCCTGCGCCACCAGCCCGCGGAGTCTCTTCCCGTTTCGGATCCTCCTCTCAGGTCCGCATCTTCCCTGCATCTTCGCTCCTCCGTGCTCGCTCTGACCATCCTCCAAATGCCAATTCTCACACACGTATCTCTGCCCCTTTCAGGCTCACAGCCCCCTCAAAAGTCCTCTCCTCTCAGATCCACTGCTCTTTCTTCCTCAGATGCCTTTGCTTCCGAGACCCACGCGCCCCTCGACCGCCCTCCTCCGTCAGACCTACGCCCCTCACCGGGACCCGCCTCCGACCCAGGCTCCCCTCGGACCACCTCCCCTTTCAGACCCACGCCCCCCTCAGACCACCTCCCCCCTCAGACCCACGCCCCCCTCAGACCACCTCTCCCCTCAGATCCACGCCCCCCTCAGACCACCTCCCCCCTCAGACCCACGCCCCCCTCAGACCACCTCCCCCCTCAGACCCACGCCCCCCTCAGACCACCTCCCCACTCAGACCCACGCCCCCCTCAGACCACCTCCCCACTCAGACCCACGCCCCCTTCGCCGCCCTCCTCTCTCAGACCCACGCCCCTCACCTGGACCCGCCTCGCGGAGCCGATCTGCGTCTGCTGCACGAAGGGGTTCGGCACCGGCGGCGGGAAGAAGGACGCCTGACGGGGCACCATGGGCGGCCGTATCCCCACGTTCCCGACGCCGGCACCTGGCACTGTGGCCGCCACGGCCGCCGACTGGGCGCACCGGCTCATGGTCAAGACAGGCGGGGAATCCGACCGAAGTGACCTACGCGGGCGGCGCAGCGAAAACGGAGCTGAAGTCCCGCTTGAGTCCCAGCCTGGGATAGGGCTGGGGAGCCTCTGCGCAGGCGCTGAAGTTACCTAGACGCCGGCTGCTGCCGCCCCGCCCCTTCGGCTCTGACGGCCCCAGGCCCTGGCCACGCCCCGTCAGGCATCTGGCCACACCTCCTTGGTAACACAGCCCGTCCCCTCGGAGAGGAATGCTTTTCCTTCAGAGCCAAGACCCTGAAGGGTACCCCAGGATCCCTAACAAGCCACAGTGAGACACTAGGCAGAGTTTCCTGCTTTAGGGTCAGGCAGACCTGGATTTTCAATCCCTCTTACTGGGCCTGTGACGTTGGCCAAATCATTGTCTCCATGAACCTTAGCTGCCTTCTGTAAAATGGAGATAAATGTATTCTCCGATGATCAGTACCTGATTCCAGCAATGCCAGGAGCAAGCACTTCCCCTGGACTGTTCCATTAAATGAACTAATATTAATACACCCGTGATGGCACTAAGTGGAATTTGTCTCACTCAAAACATAATGGACTGAGAGCAGAGAGATGGTTCTCCAGAGGAAAACTGAGCTGCTATTTCTAGAAAAGGGAAAAATTACAGTTTCCCTGCATGCTAGATGAGGAACCTGACCCAGAAAAGGGAAATGCCTTGGGCTGTGACTCCATTTCACACTGAGGAAGTTCAGGCCTGTTTCGACCTATCTGGGTCTTTGTTGGGGTGGGAGGGCAGGGGTTGTTGTTCCATTACCTGAAGCCAGATAATCAAGCCCTCAGTGGCTGAGAGTTAAAGGAAGGAGATAATAATCAACTCACTCCTACTGAGCAACTCTGCTCACAGCAGGCAGTCAGGCCAGGATAAAATCTGAGTCCTGGGCTTCTCCAAACATACCGTCTGAATCACAGAATCTTCCAGCCCTACCTAACACATAGATGTATGGCCTTGAGTCAGTCACTTAACCTGAGTTTGCTTCCTTGTCTAGGAATGGGAGATTCATTCTAACCCCGTAGAACTGTAGTGAGGATTAAATAAAATAATGCATGCGAAGTGTTCATAAAGGAACACTGAAAAAATGGCATGTTTTAAGCATTATCATGTCCTGGAGCTACTGAATTTTCTCTCGATATAACAGGGAACATTAACAACAGTGTATTATAGCCATGACGGAAGATTCCCCAGTCTAGGGAGTCTTCAAGTTGGGACTGGCAGACCCTTGAGGCTCTTTAGCCAGATACCTGCACAGAAGGATGTCTTTCCAACTATCAACAACCTAAGCCAGGCCACGGGTGGCAGCTCATGCCTGTAATCCTAGCACTTTGGGGGCTGAAGAGGGTGGATTCCTTGAGTCCAGGAGTTCAAGATCAGCCTGGGCAACAAAGTGAGACCCGTCTCTTAAAAAAAAGAAAGAAAGAAAGAAAGAAAAAATTAGTTGGCCGTGTTGTTGCATGACTGCAATCCCAACTACTCAGGAGGCTGAGATGGGAGGATAGCTTGAGCCCAGAAGATCAAGGCTGTAGTGAGCTATGATTGTGCCATTGTACTCCAGCCTGGGTGACAGAGCAAGTCACTGTCTCAAAAGAGAAAAACAAAACAAAACAAAAAGAATCTGAGCGAGGGGGCAGACCATGGGAGGATAAATGATAGAAAAGATGACATCAGGACCACTGAGGTCACCTGTAGAGTTCACTCCTTACCCACCTTCCTCACCAGGCCCATCATCAGAAGCCAGAAGCAATACACTAATCCAACCAGCCGAGCCAGAAGGAGCCTCAGAAAATCCCCAGGCTTTAAATTTCTGTTTGGCAGTAGCTCCATAATTTCTATATAGGAGGTTGGGGTGGGTAGACGGGTAGGAAGGAGTAAGGAGCTTATCCATTAGTACCAGCTGTGTTTAGAAGCAAGCACATTATTTCTCCCCTAGCTGTGTTTACCCAGGGTGGTTTTGGGGGTGGTGGAGGGTGGCAGGAGTGGTTTTGAGGGTGGTGGATATTCTAGTTTGAGGGCTAAAGCTCCTCTGCTAGGCTATCCTTTGGCCTTGCAGGTCCCTAATAGCTATGCGACCCTGGAAAAATCACTTCTCTTGAGCCATCGGTCTCTTCATCACTAAGATTCAACCAATAATAGCCTCTCTCTATTTAGGGGGTAGGAAAGGTTAACTTAAGTGACGTTTGAGAAGTGCTTCACACACAGGAAGCATGTTAACGGAAGGGGACATTATCGTTGTTGTTCGTCGTTATCAGTAGCAGCATTAGAACGGAAATGATTGCTAGTGAAGAAACTGAGACTTGTAGAGGAAGCAAACCTTGAACAGACCCCACAATAAAGCAACAGAATTGCTGTTTCTTCGGGGCTCTTTCAATAGGACAGAGAGAGGGACTAGGGCTTATTCTCCCTGAGATTCTCTTGCTGTTTACTTTGGAAGCGCTGACCTTTCCAGCAGACATCATCACCTGTTCCCCACGGGGACCAGAGATTTGGACTTCTTAAGCTTCCGCTTCTGGCTGGGTCTGTGGCCTTTGTCTAGGCGCCGCTAAAACAGATGGCAAACACAGCCACTCAATTGGTGTCTTTATTCATACTTGTTGACATTTCCCATGGGGAACGGTTGAAGGGAGGGGTGGGGAGGGCCAAACGGGAAGCCACCACTTGGTTTTCCTCCAGCCAGTGGAGGAAGAGACTGGGTAGGGACATGCTAAATAGAGTGAACAGGGGAACCATCACTATGTGGGCTGAGATGTACCGTGCAGTGACATCAGACAACCTGAGTCCTTCTGTCAGGAAATGCAATTTCTAAGTGGGGAAACAAAAGAAAAAAAGAAAAAAAAAACAAGACTGAAAGAAAACAAAGTGCAGAGAAAGCAAACTGCTAATGTCAGAAAGGTTCTAAGGCAGCCAGCAGTGAAAGGCCAGGGGTCTGGAGTGGCCACCTGGCCATGCCCCCATCCCACTGCCCTATTCCAGGCTGGCGGGCCACCAGTGCCCCCTTGAGACAGTCTCTCTTGGCTCCGAGGGTGCTGTGAGCCACAGAAGGTTGTGGAGGGAGGAGAGTCTGAAGTGTGGCAGCACCAGGGCAGCCCAAAGCAGGGCTGCATTGAAAATATCAAAGTATCTTCTCAGGGGTGGCTCTGAGGGTTGGTGGGAGTGGAAGGGGAAGGGGTGCCTGGAAGGGGGACAATCAGCACCTATCCTTGGGCACAGGGAGGAGCCACTCTCTGGAATCTTAAATTACCAGGTAGGAGTGAGAATGCTGATTAGCTGTAGAGCGGAAGGCACAGCTGCCAGGCCCCTCCGGGTACTTCTCTAGTGCTCCAGGCCCGGTGTATGGAAAGCAGTGGAGAGGAAGGGCCTGTGGGAGCCGGGGCCAGCTCAGCAGCCTAGCCAGTCGGATTTGATGCTTCCAAACTTCACGCTCTTCAGACTTTGGTTCTCCAGCTTCAGGTAATAGGCACCTTTGAAGAAGTAGCTGTGACCTGGGACAGAGAGAGAGAGAATGGACTGTGACCACCTTATCCTGACATTCTGGCACAAAGAAGGTTCCCGGGAGCTTGAATTTCTGCCTGGCATAGGGAAGAAGCTTTTAAACCAGAAGAGAGCTTTGAAAGGCTGAGGCAGGGGGATTGCTTGAGCCCAGGAGTTCAAGACCAGCCTGGGTGGCATAGAGAGATCCCTGTCTCTACCAAAAAAAAAAATTTTTTTTTAAATTAGCTGGGTATAGTGGTGCATTCCTGTAGTCCAAGCTACTTGGGAGGCTGAGATGGGAGGGTCATTTAAGCCCAAGAATTGGAGGCTGCAGTGAGCTATGATTGTGCCTCTAGCTTGGCGACAGAGCAAGACCTTGTCTCTAAAAATAAAAATTCAATTGTTTCAACCTGAGCTGATTGAAGAAAAGAAAACAAAAAACAAAAACAAAACACGACTAAAACCCACTGGGATTAGAAGAAGGGAAATGGCTGTGAAATAAGCTCTCATTCCCTGTTTGCTCATCTCTAAGATGAGAATAAAGATACCAACCTCCTAGTGCTTGCAGTGAGGATTAAATCAGGTAACATAAGCTATTATTAAAAACAATAACCCCACTTAACACGAGCGTCAAACTAAGCACTTTCCATATGCCAGAGGTGGCAAAACAGGATACGTCCAGTCCTATCGGGCCCACAGATGGGTTTTATTTGGCTCTCACCAGTTTTGTTTGTTTTGTCTTTAAATCTGAATATCTAATATAGAATATCTAACAACACCAGGCCCCCCATTCTTTTTTTTTTTTTTTTTTTTTTTTTTTGAGACTGAGTATTACTCTGTCGTCTAGGCTGAAATGTAGTGGCATGAACATGGCTTGCTGCAGCCTCAAACTCCTGGGCTCAAGCAGTCCTTTCTGCTTGGCCTCCCCAGTGGCTTGGACTACAGGTGTGTGTCGTCATGTGTAGCTAACGTTTTTAAAAATGTTTTTGTAGAGATAGAGTCTTACTATGTTGCCCATGCTGGTCTCACACTAGTGGGCTCAAGCAATCCTCCTGCCTTGGCCTCCCAGAGTGCTGAGATTACAGGTGTGAACCACAGCACCCAGCCTAGGCCCCTCATCTTGTCCACCAATAATTATCGGAAGGTGAGAAGCAACTGTCTCCTGTAAATGAGGCATGTGTTCTCCGATTCAACGTGGACGCTACCATTGCCCACTGTGTGCCCTGCCTGCTTTATCCATTTGTACTACCTACCTGGCCCATGGAGCTGTTGAAATTTGTGACTCTTGACATACATAATCTCTTTTACTATTAAAATGCTAGTACACAGTAGGTACTCAATAGATGTTTATTCTTGAAGATAATCTCGAATCTAGCATCTGATTGTACACTGCTTTTTCTTGGACATGTAAGACCTTCAGCTACTGGAGGTCAGGGCCCTGTGTTTAGCATACAGTAGGTGCTCAAAAACAAATTCTGTGGAATTTAGTTACAATCGCCTCTAAAAAACCAAACTGGACCCATTTCCAGGACCCTAGAGAGCTCACAGATGCTTCCTCAAGAGTATAATTTTTGAACTCCAAATTCTATCCCTCACTGCTACTGGTTGTGTTTTAATCAGCAAAGGGCCAGGGGCAAACTGGTTGAGTGGGAGATCTTTGCCACATGAGCAACAGAGC